AGATCATACGACCCAAGTCGACTAAAAAAAGAACTGCAGAACGGTCGGTATGAGATGGAACAGCATAGCATAATATTATAAGTAACGTCAAACAGCTATACGTCCGCGGGCAGATAATCTTCGAGAGTCGTATTACACACATGGCCCGTTTTCGTATAAACTTTATCTCTTAGGACCAGCGATGACTGGCACGCGAATTTTATACTAATGTCGCCACAATACGAATCGTTTAATGTTATATGAAATAGCGAAACCGAAAATCGCGTCATGGACGTGACATTATATTATTACTATTATACCGCGGTAACCCGCAACGGTCAAMGCAATGCGGCCTTGAACAGCGAACGAATAATCGACGTTGCGATCTKCGTTTCTCGGACGATCTGCCGATCTTGAAACTAAACTATAAGCATACCTACGGTAGGTATGGAAATTCAAAATTATCGATTTCTTGGAACGTCAGAGGAAATATATATTTAATTATTACAATTATAATAATATTATTGCAGTGTTTTAACTTATTTCGTAGTAACTATAAAAATACATTACAGACGGTGGAGCCTCGATTACTGGAATGACTATAAAAGTGGAGTTTTCGACAATTCGAAGAAATTTAATATATCAAAAGTACATACAATATTTTAGAAAACACATATTTTTTTTTGTCCCAACCGACTCGAAGTCAACAACGTTTCGCCGAATTAATTATGATATTACCGTGATGTATTTTTTTTCGTATACAGACAAAAAATCGTATTTAATACCTAATTATTATTATAAAAGCTCTGCGGCSGCCGCCGCGTTTTCTSGAAGTCTGGACCGGTGGTGTGAATACCTATACCTATGTATTGTATGCSACCCTCGAGCACAATTACTCCGAAATTAATGCACTTCAATATTGCGACCTGTTCGTATGATATTTAGACGTTATTATTTTATTGTTACACTATATAATAGCAGCCCTCCGAGCCATATATTATAGTTGTTACATTACGTGACGTCGCCTCTGAAACAAAGGAACGTCGCGGACTCTGCGGGCACTGAGCCAGGTGGCCCGGTCGTGTTTTCGACGAGAAATCGTACAATACAACACGTATTATAATATTATTGAAATAATACCTATGATGTAGGTAGGTATTGTGACGATGATGGGCATCGTGTTTCACATTTTTTTTATTGTTATTATCATTATATTATCATCTTCATCCTGCCTGGAAGTTTAATACGCAGTGATGAGGGGCAGATAATAATAATATGTCGACGGGTTTTGTCGTGTAATATGTCCCGTCGTCGACGGTTCTATTTCGAAAAACAAAAATCGTATTCAATCAAAATCGTACACGACTTTTGTTAATTGTAATAAGTATATCGCGCGTGATGCGATCGAGTATTGTTTAGCTTCAGAAGCCAATAAAATGTGAACGACACATTATATTATTATGCACCCGTTACGGTATAGTCTATACCACGTATAAGGTATAGTAAAATACGTCTGCATGCTAATATATTAAACATATTATGTATAATACGACAATAATAATAGTAATAATGATGTGTATAGTCGGTATTCAGTAATCGACGCTACCGTCTTGTCGTCTTTGTCCGTTATCGTCTTGTACGTTTACATATTATGATGTAGTTAATATTTATATTATATTTTGTGTACCTACCTACTCTATACAATAATGTGCATTATTGTCGAAGAACAATGCGCACTCGTGACTGTTGTCGTGGTTTCATGACTGGATTTGTGGGCGAACGTATAATATTCTTTTAAACACAATTTTTGATAACTCATCACTCGAGGAGGAGCCCCCTTATGTATATTATACTAAGTTTCATCATTAGATAACATATTATGGCAGCGGATACCTGAACGTCTACAAATCGACGACAAGCTGCGACATCGAAATGTAGTCCTATAATAATAATATAATTTGCGTTCGTTGTACATACCTAATTTAATGACGTATAGYATTGTTTATTTAAATATTCTAATCGAATAACCTGATCAGTGATCGATCATCGGGTTCGTTGAAAATACAATATCACTGTATGAATCATCATCGACGTGAGCAAGCGATGGTTGCAGTATGCAGCTGAACGCAGAGCTAGGAAGTATAATACGTTTATCAACACTACTGCACTGCCGCAGTTTACTAATATAAGAGGTTATGYGATATAAGAATATTTATGGWGTGTGCAGTGTTTTTAATTTAGACAAAATATTGTCTTTCATAACATTTGTGTATATTTTTCTGCCAAAACGTTAAACTTAAACGTCTTAAAATAACGTTCGAACGACGATTTACCTCGCCGAGAAAAAAAGAGGTCTGAGCACGCGTCTATATAAATATATGATGCTATAATAAATTATAGACTATTTGTGTTATTTGTTGGTAGGTATATGAAGAGTGAATGCTGCAGATCACCGCTCCTGAATCCCCTCTTACTTCTTGGCACGGTCAGTTTAAAACCTTATAAGCTGATAGTCCTATATTACACAGTGCAGCTGTACAGACAGTATCCCACGGGATACTTCAAAAGAAACGTTCCCATCATAACGACCGGTGCGGGACGTGCAGGACGTATAATAAATGTTTCATATTATGATATATATATAGGAATATTCCAAAGAACCGGTAAAATATATAAGACGAGCTTTTAAAAGCGTATTAAAATAAATAAATTTGGTAATTACGAGTATATAAACGTTTCGCGCATCATGATTATAAAATTAAAATATCGAAACTTTTAGTGATGGCAGTCACATAAAGTTATAACCATCACTGAAAATCGTCGTTTTAATAACAACGAGTGATGGGTTTTCAAGAGTTCGAACTCAATCGATCAATACTAAGCTTTATAATATGTGTAGTAAAAATTTCACATTTCCGGAAACTCTATTTATTCGGTAATTCGTATATTATAAGTTCATCCCAACGTTTTATGGGCTTATATATTTCTATTAAAAATTCCTATCTCGTGTCAGATTTTACCTCGCGTTTTATCGTCTTTCGGTGAAAAAATTGTTTTCATTGTAAACTCGTATTAATGGAGAGGATTTTGGTATAATACGCCTGGACGTACAAGAAATCATTATTATGCGGTATAAAGCAAAATGTAAAATATAAGCTGGGTAAAATTTAGTACGAAAACTGAATTCAAAATGAAAATATCAAGTAATAATGTAACCTAAGTCTTCCTTCAGATATTATGTAGAAAAGAAAAAAACAGCCTGACACTCGTTAAATAAAAAAACTTGTTTAGATTTAGTTTATAATATTATAATTCTGACCTAGTTTTATTATTATATTCAATTTATCGTTGCATCATGTCTATTATATTTATAAGAGAAAACAAATCTAGGTAACATTTCTAGTTCAAATATTATTGCATGTTATTATCGATAATACAATAATTATAAATTAGATCAATTAATTTTTCTAGAACTATTTCATGGCATTGGTTCATTAATTTTATTTCCAAGAGGAAAATTATAGTTATACTGTACTTTAGAATTCAACTATACAAATTAAAAAAAGATTATTTATTTTTCACTTTGTTTGTACTCGTTTCTATACATTTACAGATTTTTTAAGCCATAGTAAGTAATATCTAATCTTTGTTCAGTTAGAAGTATATTTGGAGATATTTTATTATATAACATACACTTTAATAAATAAAAATAATAATTAACAGACTGATTTAACGTTTATTTTATTCAATTTTTATTAGTGAATAGTGACCCGTCCAGACATTATTATCACTTTTTAAAATAAAATATTGTTATTTGTATTGAATACAACCATTTTATCAGAACGGTTTACAGAAAACGTAATTTAATCACGTTTATTTTAAATCTCAGGCTTTTATAATACCTCGTTTTTTGATCACGGGTGTAGAGTACAACAATTCGAATGTAAAATATCTTTCGACTCGGAGAACGCTATCAAGATTGCAGACCATCTCACGTGCAAGACAAGCGCTCATGCCGGTTTAATGTACATAGTAAACACTAAGTATCAATTTAAATTCAAATAAAAAAAATAATGGAAAATGTTTGAAAACACTGCAGTTGTATTTGATTTCAATTTTATGAACACGAAAAAAACCGTCTCTTACCAATAAAACTGTTCAGCTGCATAATTTTATCATATAGTATTATGCACATTGTACATGCGTTTTTCTCAAATATTAACGCATTTTTCGCGGTACATTATATAATTTATTGTCCAATGACCACTATAGTCGCTATTGGTATCAAGATTTTACTGTGCCAACTTATAAGAACCTATGTCGAAAAATATCATAAATTATAAATAGATTACTGTATGAGCGTGCATATATACATAGTATATAGTGCACACAAAAACAATAGGCATAATAGTACTTGAATTTTCTACAGTGTATTTGAATGTGATTTGATTTCAGACCGTTTATTTTTAGTCCACACACTCGAAAGTTTTATATCGGACCGAAAAAGTGCTGAGTTATGAACCCAGACGTATTTGAAATGTACGCGTTTCGATCTAACGCTGCAGAATCGTCTTATTTATACCCACCATTTAATGCAGCGTTGTCCGTTTCGCATTTCGGCAAAATCCGGAAAAAATTGATCGAGTTTGGGTCGCAGGGGTGGTAGTCGGTTTGTCCTTGGGTAACGCAATAAATTTAAATGTATACGTGCAAATTATTGTTAAAATCGATACTAGACCAGTATAGGTATTGTACGCTAGTCCCAAATTTTWCCACGGCATGTACATTGAATAGTATTTATTTTTTCAAAAAAAAAGCACTCACGACACGACGCAAATGTAATATTGCATCGGTTGTTTTCACTATATACGTCATGCATACAACACTACAAAACATGTTTGTTATTTATTTTTTACTTACGAACTGCGCAGATGACGAACAGCAGCAAGCTCATTAAAGCAAAAAATATTATCGCACAGGAACGTTATAATTKATGAGAATTTCGTTTTGTCATGTTTCAGTTACACTGGATGCATTTGAACTTGATGTTTCGACCTGTAAYCGAGTGCCGCTGACTATAGAGCATCATGGTCAAGACGTTTCAGGCGTATCTGCCGGACTGCCACAGKACTTACTCTTGCATTCACTGCAGGGCGCACCTGGCAAATCACGACGAACTCATATCCAAGGTATAGTACTAGTGGTAAGTTAGACTATAGTTAGAGGGACGACCGGATAACGATTATGGTGTCGAAAAAGGCGATAAAATGATGCGTTATTATAATGTGTGATGAACAGAGAGGATGAATGATGCGACGGTGTTTATTATATATACGACAGCAATAATATATACGTATATCAATAACGTTAAGCAGTATAAATAATTATTGCTCGTGCATATAATATTATTATAGATTATGTATACTATCATATATAACACTATATATGAATACCTGTAATGGTCGCAGTTGTAAATAAAATCAAGGTTTTATTTTCAAGACCAAACAATATAAAATATACTGCAGTGTATCTATCCGTACGTCATCTATTATATACGCGTTGATTGTGTAATATCAATAAGAGTGCCATAAGGAGCGTATGCTAACGATGGTTTTTACTAATGTGGTTTGGTCGTCAAAACAATATTTACATTCGAACGTTCTAAACACTCGATAACTTCAATAGACTCATCGTATATRGATTTATATACATATTCACGAGTGTGTATTGTACCTATATATATTTTTACTATGCATCATACATAAATTTCACGGGTTATACTTAAAATCAACAAACTGCATACTGTACATATATATATATATATATATAGCACATAAGTCTCATATTATATAGTTATTCGAGTGTTTACATATTGATTTTAAGTGTGTTCATATATATAATATATACTTGGTTCCGTCTGAACCGAGAAAATGAAAGTTGAACGACAGAAATTTAAAAATCCATTAGGAACATATTTTTCGAAACGCGTATTTCATATGGCTCTTTGTTTGAAAAATATATAATATATATATGTGTGTATAGTGCACCGTATGTATTTCTCCACAAAGTCGATAAACTGTCGATTGTTGCAACGACCGTTTTGCGGTAATGCCGCGCACTTTGCACATGTGCAACGAATAAAATATAATATTTACGCACAAAAATACACATTGTTCGATATTTTTAGTGTTCTGCATCACTTGTGTGCGTGTTTAATAACATATAATATATATATATATATTATAATACTTATTATTTTAATGTAGCCCGGGTGGTATTTAAATCTTGTGGCGGCGTTCGATAATAATTCACTGTAATTATATCTCGCGAGCCGCTGCCGCGCATTTGTCTATAGAAAGTCACCATAAATAATCATACGTATATAATAATATCACTAATGATCTGGAATAAGCTCATGTTATATTGTACGGTAGTTTTTTGTGAAGTCCAACGGCCTATGTTGCCGAGGGTCTCGATTAATAGAAAAAAAAAAAAAAATCACTAACGCGCATATAGTCAAATTCGTGCAGTGATCTCCCCAAAACGTTTTTCGACCGGTTAAAATAATAATAATAAGCGAGCGTGCAAAACGGTGCGGGGCCGACAGTTTTTCGTTTGTAAATTTTTTTTCCATTTCTCGCCCGGGTCGTGCAAAACGACATGGTAATGATATTAATATGTACGCCCGTGGTGTGTGCTCGTGCATATATTATTGTTATTTGTTATATTTAAAGCTCGCGATATGGCGACTCGGCCAGCGGACCGGAAGCAAGCTGATACACGCGCGCGGTAATGCATTATAATACGAGTATATACATATATTATGTGTACGCGCACATTACACATATTATTATTATGTATTCCGGTATTCGATAGTATATACTAGGTATATATATATATATTATACATTTATTTTTACGTTTATGTGCGGCCGTTATTATTGGGTGGGGCCGTGGGGGGAATGCTTTCACTTTCCTCTGCTGTCTCTCTCTCTCTCTCTCTCTCTATCCCGCGGTTTGCTGATATTTATATATTATATATATATATTCTATTTCTACATAATATGCACCCGCGCTAAATCTCGTACATTTGTTACCTATGTATAAAATAATATATAGGTAAAATGTCCTAATTCCGTTGTGTATATATATTGTATACCTACCGCTTGTATTAAAACTCTCTGTCGCCATCACTATATCCGCGCGCGGTGTACAACCTGTCCGCATTCTGGCTCAGCAGCCATCTCCACCGGTGTGGTTTTGTCATCGGCTCGCCTCTTGTCGTCTTGCGGTCGTCGGCATCACTCGTTCGCGACATTACACACAATTGGTTAAATCTATWWTATACRCTGTGGTCGTATCAATAATAAGATACCGAGATAATATAATTTATAATCTGATATTATCGCCGGAGCACATTTCTAAACGCTCTATAATAATTATAATAATTATAGATAGATACCAGCTATTATAATATATGCGTATGRGTTCGTAAAACTGAAAACGTTCTATTATTATTATATTATATAGCCGTAAGTGGGCAGTTGCGCGATATCCTGTGACCACCGCATACATAATTTACCACAGCATATTAATTTATTTATGTGTGCATATACACAATATTATGCTGCACGCGGTATATTATATTATAACCTACTCCGTTGACCTCTATTCCGACGCGCCCTGCAACTCTGTCGCGCGTGAAAATAGTGAGTTTAGCGCAATTATGTACTGCTGTCTTCTTCCTCTTTGCGGGTTCCTGATTTTCACGAGTTCGATAAAAAAAGAAAAATTGAATTTTAATAATTTTATAAGGAAAATTTAATGATGACTCGTCAAAAATGAAAAGGATATTATTAAGGAAGTTCTAAAAATTAAAAAACGGAAGTTATATTCACTTGGACAAAGTAGAAGCAGAATATTATATGACGTATCTATATATACTACCCTTGTACACAGGACTTTATAGTCTCATTTATACATCTATATACTTTGTACTCTAAGATTCTACTGCAATAATATAGTCGAGCATACGACATATTATTTTAGGATTTCGTGCGCTTGAAAATCCTATAAATTAAAAACGATACTTTTTATTGTTATTATTTTAAGTTGCGGGTTTATGTATTTCGCCATTTCGTTGGTTATGCGATTGTATTAAATCTGCAGTATTATCGTATTAGTATATCGTCATTTTTTTTTTTTTTCAAACAATCACAGCCACTCACTGAACATTAGCTAATATGCAGGGCAATGTCTTGTGACGAAGCTGCTTTTATTATATTGGGCGCGTATATATGAATACACACACATACACACACACACACGACGAAACAAAAGAAAACGGGTCTTCTGTACTCTGCCACACGTAGTTTGTGTGTAGTTATATAGATATGTATTAACAAAAACAACAACAACAGCTGTTGTAGGAGTACCAGATTGTGGGGTTGATGGGTAGTGGTGCGGGTGATGGTGGTGTCGTAGTAGTAGGTCAAAACCAGAGTTACCGTGGTAACGGAGCTCCGGTCCTCGTCGCGGTGTAATATCCTAAGTCGTTCTCCTCCCCGTCGATTGTGTTCCGCACGGAAATTATAGTATTATATATAATTTTATCATATTACATATATATATATATATTATATATATACATCAATCCGTGGCTCGAACGAACGACGGCGATGATTTCGTTATATTGACATTCGTTCGATTTTTTTCTCATTTCCGTCCAAACACTGAAAAGGACTCCCAATACACTTATTTAATAATACGTAGAAAAATATAGTTTATCAAAGCGCGAGATTCGATTTTAAATGCGTAAAAACAATAATATATCATATTATGAATATTAAAATCTCTAATGCTTTTAACGAACGTTAAAGTTATTGTTTTCATATATATATGTTATATACATCATCGATTTATTCGTGTACGAGTGTATTGTGTACTTCTATTTTCATAAATATTGCGTTTTAACAGTATTATTTATACCTCTATTTACCGAACAATGTATCGATGTACACATGTTACATATTATGTACATTTTACTTTTTAAGAATCGCGTTTTTTGCGTATTAAAAAAAGAAAAAGAATTGATAAGAACGCGCGCGCCAGTGCATTGCACTTGGAATCTTTCGCGTTGCAGATAATCACCGTCAACTGAGTGTTTTCGAGTTTATAGTCTTTCCGTCGACTGCACAAACCTCTATTACATCTTTGCTCGTACATTAAAACCTTTAGTGCGTACTTGAAAAAA